AAAAATAGTATTCTATACTTCTGTGAAGTAACTCAAATTAATAGGCTGGTAAGATACAGCTAAATGGGTATCAAAAACACAGTACCCTGTGGATTCATTCTAAGTATTCCAGGCTATTTAACAACTTCAATACTATTCTAATTGCCATCTCTACAAATAAATCACCATCCTGTTACCTCTTGACAAACACATTTCATAAAATATATCAATATATCTTTATGGTATTCAATAGCTTTTTTGCTCATTTCCTTTAATATCAACCCCATCTTTGGATCACTGCAGTTACACTGCAGTTGTCTTGCTTGAGGTACAGTAGAGCATTAGAAGTAGATATTCAGAATATTTTACAGAGCTTGAATGTAAGAAAATGACTATATAGAAATTCATACCACACAGTTAACTTTAAGCAAACTAAATCTAAATTAATCGATTTCAAATCCTTTTAAACAAGTTCATTTTCCTTGACTTAGGTTGTCGAAGCCTGTCTATCATGTGAATAAGCAATCAAGAGAAATCGTTTGCTCAAGTCAAATGTCTCAAATGTGAAGGGTCTATTTCTAATGGATGCTGGTTGGTTTGAAAGACAAAATTATCAAACTACACACTGCTTATGCCGGTAAACAATCATATATTATCATCACCATCACCACCACCAAAAGATCTAGCAACATTTGCATGCATAGGGTACTGAACAAAGTCTGTTAACAAATACAGCATCTATTTTTTAATGTTGCTATTTTTAAGGTGCACAGTATATAAGCAATAGATTAGTGGTCCCCAACCTTTTTGGTACCAGGGGAAAACAAATTTCCACAGACTAGGGTTGAAGAGGGAATGATTCAAGAGCATTACATTTATTGTGCAGTCAAACTTCTCTGCAGGTATGATAATCTGTATTTGCAGCTGCTCCCCAGCGCTAGCATCACTGCCTCAGCTCCACCTCAGATCATCAGGCATTAGAGTCATAAAGAGGACGCAGCCTAGATCCCTCACATGTGCAGTTTACAGTAGGGTTCATGCTCCTATAATAATCTAATGCTCCTGCTGATCTGACAGGAGGGAGCTTATGTGGAGTAATAGGGAGCAGCTGTAAATACAGATGAAGCTTTGCTCACTGGCCGGCCACTCACCTCCTATGGTGCAGCCTGGTTCCTAACAGACCATGGACCAATACCAGTCTGTGGGCTGGGGGTTGGGGAGTACAGCAATGGATTATATATTAAAGAATTATGTAACATATTTAAATAGCATAACAGTCTG